ATAGATAGATAGATAGATAGATAGATAGATAGATAGATAGATAGATAGATAGATAGATAGATAGATAGATAGATAGATGCTTTATCGAATTTTAACCCTGTAATGCCAAATGTATCCTTTTGCATAATTTAATGGTAAAAAGTTTGCTCAAAATCCAGTTCTACACAATCAGATATACCTGATAACAGGGGGCAGAAAACTAAACAAAAAAGAATCTTGACTTATCGCAAAGTAATAAATTAATAATATAAAAAATGTATTTTTGTCTTTTCTTTTTACATATTTTGTTAAAAGGCCAAATAAAGACTTAAAACCAAAAATTAGGATTTTTCTGTTTAGTTTTATTCTTGGATCAGGCTTGAAAGGGTTAATTGGACACATGTATCATAATTTTATGTTAAATATTCAGTTAAATATTGAAGTATTAAGAATTGAGCATATCAACATAGCTGTAAGTAACTTTTTTTCATGTACAAAAGAACTTTGTGAGCATGTCCCCCTCAGAAATCTGTTTTTTTTTTTTTACAGTCAACTTTCAACAGTCAACTTTGGTCAGCTCATCCTGTAAACGTTTCAAGTTAGGATTCAGTTTTTGTGCAGCTAATTTTAAATTAAAGCATTGAGGCACTTTTATAACATCTGATAGAGCATATCAGTTGAGTAAAAACTGCAGATTTAGGAGTAATCTATTAATATTGTAGCTATACAGCAGAAATAGCTGATAGTAGAGTTGATTTATAAGTCGTGTCATTTTAAAAAGAATTACATTTAATATTGTTGAAAAAATGGGTTGGTTCAGTTACTAGAAGCTCTTACCACATTTAACTAATTAATTTTTTTTCTGTGCAACTTTTAGATGTAAACAATCAACACATCTTTGTGTCTTCCTTTGACCTGTCACTGTAGCAAACGGTAGCGAGCTCTTCATCGGCAGCGTCCGGTACGAGGACACCGGCGCCTACACGTGCATCGCAAAGAACGAGGTGGGAGTGGATGAGGACATCTCCTCTCTCTTCGTGGAAGATTCAGCGAAGAAGACCCGTAAGTCTTCCAGTCAGATTTGACTCTCTTCACTGAACAAATTCGATTATCATAAGTGACAAACCAAAAAGTGGTGAGGATGGGGCAGAGCAGCACCTTCAAATTCATTGAAGTTCCTAAAAGTCTGGTTTAGTCTTGGTTGATTTTGATTCAATTTATGTTGTTTGTCTTATCAAAGTAGGATGGATAGACTTAGAAATTAGACATGCTGCTCTTTCAGAGGGACCGTAAAGAGCAGTACCTGATTAAGATGTAGGTGACAGTAGATTGATTTTCTCTGACTTCAGATATCAGAAAAATTAAGGAAATTCAAACCTTTCGTGAAAGTGTTGATAATCAGACCACCAGTAAGATAGTGAAGTGACTTTTCAAAGCCTACCAGTGTAGATTCTGACATCACAACACCGTAAATCCTCTCTGACATGTTCCAGCCAAACAGATGAAAAACTAATGTAATCCAATTTTAAAACAAGCCAAGAGAATCCTTGATTTATCTTTTTTTATCTTTAAAGCCAGTCCCCAAAAATCCATCCCACAAGTTTCTAAGATCGTTTAATTTTGAAAGAAATGATCTGATTGCAGAAGCTAGCTGCTCACTAGCCTGTTGTCTTCTCACTGAAACACAAAAAAAATTCAAATCACACAGTTTTACGTCTCTTTCTTATCTGGTCTTCTGAGCGATTAAATAATCTCGAGGAGATAATGATCAGTACCTGGAACGGTTTGAGAAAGATTTACCAAAACATGTAATTAATGGGAAAAATCAATATCTACACTTCACACAAGAAAGGAGTGGTCGTTCTCTTTAAGTAGAATTATATATATAAGCCTGTCATCACCAAGAATGATTTGTTGCTGTAACATATGTTTTTTTCTGAAATTAATTCATGTCTCCACCCCCATTTTTCTTCTCCCTCGCCTTTGCTCAACCGGCTGATTCTGCAGTTGCAAACATTCTATGGAGAGAGGAAGGTAATACATAAGAGTTTTCAAAAAGTCTTTGTATTCGTATTAATAGAAAAATTGCATCAAGCGTGTTTTGCAGCGCTCGGAGCCTGCAGCGTAGTTTCTACTGTACCACTTCGCAAGTTGTTTGAGCTGCTGTCCGGAAGAAACCGCAAAGTTGTTTACTCTCCAGCGGCTTTATTCTTCAAGTCTTGCCCTCCTCCCGAGATGTTTCATCCTTTTGTGCTTTTCTAATCTGTTTTTGTTCATCACCAAAGGGAGAAACAAGTCACACATAAACAGAAAACCAATGTATTTTGCACAAAAAACATGAAATGCAACTGTAGTTTTAGAAGCCAATAGGAAATAAATCTGTTTCTATAAGTAAAAACTAAAGAGAAGATAAATAAAGCTAAAGAGAGCATGGTGATCATTCTTAGTTTTGATTTACCCATAGAAACGATTTAATCGACTACCTAATTGATAGCATATGAGGAGAGAGCTTGATCCTCAGAGTTTATGCATATATTTGTCAGTGTTTTTTTCGAAACAACATTGCAATTTGCATAATTCCCCGATAGCAAGCATCAGGCTGTTGACAACCGCATTCTAAAGTCATCTGACAATATAACTGTGCAAATTAAAGACTCAACAGCCTAACAGATCAATCACCCCACGGTTTTCGTGTGCGTCTGCACTCGGAACGATTATGCAAACCACAAGTGTGAGCACGGTTTTAGGTTCTTATCTCCAATTATGCGATGCATTCAAGTCACATCAGCCGTTCGCACCAAAACAGATGTGCAGACAGGGCTGGTAATTTGATGTCCGTTGTTAGGCTGAACCGTGGACATATTGACAGGGCATCTGCCCACGTATCGTGGGCATCTTAAAAGCTGCCAAGCTCTGCTAACGAGAACACATGCTGACGTATATTAGACCTCGTCTCTTCTGGTAGGAGCCGAAATTGACCATGATATAAGAAAAAAGTGGGACTTAATACCATTTCTAGTGTACGTGTGCTCCTTGAAATGTCGATTTTATTTTTTATTTTTTTTTGTTTGGTCATATTTTTTCTGTTTTATCTTTTAGGGTTGAGCGTGGGCAACATGTTCTATGTTTTTTCTGATGAGGGCATCACTGTTCTTCAGCCCAGTGAATGCGAAATACGCAGACACATGAAGCAGACAGAGAGGATTTCTGCTACCTATGTAAGTACATGCGTTATGATTAACTGGATGAGTATATTCAACACAAAGAAAGTGTATAAAACAAGACAAATATAAAGTGGGGGATGCTGGAGTTTTAAAATAAAAAAAGGCAAACATTTCCCCTTTTATTCCTTTTTATTTATGTTTTTGTATCTTAACCATTGCTTACATCCATTCTTGACTGCACATGCCCTCCTTTGAAGTTCATAACCAGGCAGTTATGAACCAGAGGGTGAAAACTATGCATGTCAAAGAGAAAAAACATATGTATCCAATAAAACTGTTCCTGAATCGGCAACATTAATCACAGAGTAAATATTCCAGCCTTGACAATCCAGATGATTTTTGTGTATATATATATATATGTATCTGCCCTGGGTAGAGTGAAAGGAAATTGTCACCAAAATCAAGCCCATCTGTCTTCTTTCTCCTCCCTCCTGATGTGTCACATTGTGACTCCTCACCTCAGTAAATGTAATGAGATTACTCGTGTCCATTAGTCAATAGCTCGCAACAATAGAGTGTATAAGTCTATACCGCAGACCTTGAGGTTTTTAATCCACTAGAGAACATCCATCTCTAAGAGTAAGAGGCTTTAGATGGTAGAAGTTGCTTGTTTGTTTGAGGGATTTGGGTTTTATAGGAGGGTGTAATTGTATTAGAGATCAATACAAACTCAATATACCATGTGTAAGCCAATTCCTGCTATAAACAGCAGTTTCTCCACTGTGCTGAGGAGGTGGACACACTTAAAACACAGTCTCGGAGTGTGTGGTCCTGTTTTTTTCTATACTTGTGGGGGTCTCATAGCTTTCTTGCTACCAAAAGAATTAGAACCAACTCTTTCTAAGAGTAGTTGGAGGGCCAAAGTTGGTTCTGAGGTGTTTTTGAGGTCTGAAATAAGTCACATTAGTTTAAGACAATGGCAAAACAATTCTCAAAATTGGATTTATCTAAGGCGGTATGGTGGTGGGGTGGTTAATACCATCGCCTCACAGCAAGAGGGTTCTGGGTTCGAGTCCCCGGGTATTGCATGTTTTCCCTGTGTCTGCTATGGTTCTCTCCGGGTTCTCCAGCTTCCTCCCATAGTCCAAAAACCTGCGTGGACATTCCAAATTGCCCTTAGGAGTGAGTGTGAGTGTGAGTGTGTGTGGTTGTTTGTCCTTGTGTGTCTCTGCGTGGCCCTGAGATGGACTGATGGACCATCCAGGGTGTATCCCGCCTCTTGCCCATTGACTACTGGGATAGGCTCCAGTCCCCGTGCGACCCCATTAGGGAATAAGCGGTTACGATAATGGATGGATGGATGGGTTTCATCAATTCAATTAAATTTTATTTATATAGCACCACATCACAACAACAGTTATCTCACAGCCCTTTCCAAACAGAGCAGGTCAGACCCTACTCTGAAGTTAATTACAGAAACCCAACAATTCCCACCATGAGCAAGCACTAGGCGACACAGGCAAGGAAAAACTTCCTTTTAACTTCCTTATCCAATTAAAAATGTGGTGTATCTAAAGGTTGAAACCATTTCTCTTTTACTTGAACAACCTGTCAGTTGTCCACTATCCCCAAACCTCTAAACGGTAAAAAAAAAATTCAAACAACACAGACACATACATTTGCAACATCTGTAAGAATTCGAACCGCGCTTCTGTGTTGGTTTTTTCTCAGGAGGAGATGTGCCCGAAAGGTGAGGGGGTGTCACCTCAGCGCTGCGTGTGGTCATCGGCAGTCAACGTCAGGGACAAGTACATCTACGTGACCCAGCCCCTGCAGAGTCGACTGCTGGTTGTCGACATTCAAGCACAGAAGGTGGTTCAGGTGAGTCGAGCAGGTTACTAGGCATACCTGAGAAAAAATGAGAACACGGAGTTAATGTCAAACATCGTTCATCTCGAAGTTAGACCAGCTTTTTAAAGGTTTAATTGAAAACCTGAATGACGATGGAAGGCAAAAGATTGCTTAGGTCATTTACATCTTCTTAAAAGCGCTGGAAGTAGTAACTGTGATGATAAACTGGTCGTTTACAGTAACTATTTAACAGTAACGATGCACGGTCAACAATCTCACACCCTGGAAAATGGCATTTCTTTTGGCAAGTATGAAATTGTATTGGATTCCTTAAAGAATTAGTTTAAGAAGACTGGACTAGGTTCCAAATACAACTTCTACATTTTTTTCTCATAATGTACTCAACAAACACTTGCCACAACATGTGGTTAATAAAACTTTTTAGGTCCATCAACTTGATACTTTTATCCACTGTGGGGCATTATTATGACATTAAATGTTAAAAATGGACTCGTTTGACATCAACGTGTTTCCTAGTATTGCATTATGGTGTATCACGCTTCATTTTAGCTTCACTAAAACCTTAAATGAAAAGAGGGGAAAAAGACAAAAGAACAATCATTTCTTATCATGTTGTCAATGGTAGCTAGTTTTAGGCCTCATGACAGACATAAACACTCTGAGATGCACTCACTTCTGGCTGCAACCAATCCAAAAGGCCATATGCAAGGTAAAATAAATCAAAAGCACCTGAAGCGTTTGAAACAATATGGTGCCCAGGTGGGTGCTGGCTGCCTTGCCATTTATCTTGGCTGTAATGGCTGTTTAGAGACTGAATCCCTCAGGGCCCCTCCCAGGGTCAGCATCATTTATACTGAGGAGCGGGATGAGAGGAAATAGGTCTAACTCAAGGAGAAGGAGGCGAGGAGGAAGAAGCTAAAGTCTTAGCAGAAAATGCGATAGATAGAAACAGCTCACTGAGCAAGTAGCAGAACCAAAATATCATCATGAATTTCTTACTTGATCTTGTCATCCAGGTAGGAAAAACGGTACTTAACGCATGGTGGGATCATAGAATGATCAGTTCTAGAAATGTTGAACCTCCACCTTTCTGTATCTCTGAGATGTTTTGGGTATTTGCGTTTTTTCTTGCGCTGTTCGTGGTTAATTTTGTCACCTGTGTGATATATAGCTACTCCATTTATTTTACTGCAGTTCGAAAGCTTCTGGTCATTCATTTGCACTTCATTGTGGATATTTTGTGTCAGTGTGGCATCTCTTTTTAGCCCTTCTTTGTAGTATATCCATAGTTTTCTTGTCCTATCTCATTTTGTCATTTGGAGAAAATGTTAGTTCCAACTTGTTAATGCTCAAATGGGATAGCTGCCCTTAATATCTTCAGGAAAGCCATAGAGCATAGCGGGTAAGCCATGTATATAAATCTCTATATTTAGTAGTGAAAAACATATAATAAGCACAATTGTAGTAAATAGACATAGTTATTAATTTACTACATTTTCTTTTAACCTTTATTATTTCACTTTTTTATGATACAAGATAAGCCCGGCAACTGTGTGAAAAAGCCTCAGCGATAATATTTTTCATGTTTTCCCACGCATCGAAAAAAGCATCTTTGTTATTCTTCTCAAATAAAGGACCTGGCCTTGACTTCGATGCGTCAGACCCGTGCTGAAAAAGTCTTCCACTTGGTCTGAAAACAAACTGCACATCAGCTGATTAAAACAATATCCAGATGGTAAAATCTCTGGATATGTATACATTTTGATTTCTCTAAGATTTTTTTTTTTCCAAAGGTTCCGTAAATGAGAAATAAACCCGACAAGCTGTGTTTGGTTACTTTTTTTCCATCATGAGCCCAAATACACTTTTTTACACGCAATATAAAGACTTGCTGGTATCATACAGGATAAAAGTAATCCAACGTTGCACAAATTTGCTAAATCAGTTTTTTCAGCTGATAGTCTCAAGAGACATTTAGCACCTCAACTGAGACAGACTCTGAATCCATTATAACAACATCTCTTACTTTCGAATTTATTTTGTTTGTCTGTAACTAAGAAGATCTTCCTGATTGAATCTGTGAGGATCAGGGTACTCTCTTTGGATCCAGGATATAACGTCTCTTTTCTTTTTCAAAATCTAGTTTGAGATCTTGTTACAACAATCAGATACAATAGCTGTAAAACTTCATCACATTTAGTTTTTGACATTCTTGTGCTCACTTTGCGACTGAGCTTAAAGTGTTGGTTTACACCTGGTTTAACAGTGGCTCCCCTCATTTGCCTCAAAATTGCCATTTGTGATTGGGGTCACTTCTTCCCTCTATGTGCTAATGAAAACGCTGTGTATGTCGCACAAAAATATTCAGCAGGAAACAAAAATAACATCAGCTCTGTATGAGGTCAGATGTTTCCATGTTTAAAATTCACATTTCAAATGATTTGAATTAATAGCCACAGTATAGTCTGACTTTTTAATAGATGGAATATAAGAGAGATAGAATAGGTGAAAAAAGTGGCATCAAAATATGTGTTTATAATGCTGCAGAGCTCAGTGTGCAGGGTTGTACTCGGTTGCAAATCTCAGAGGAGTTTTCTCTTGTAGCACTGTGTAGAGCGTTTGGTGGGTGGTCAGATAAACACCACTGACAGCAGCTCAGGTACTGAGATACAGTTAAACACAGAAAATAGTGAAAACCAAACTGAGAAGAAGGTTAAAGAAGGGCTTAACAAAGTCCAAAGTAAAAAAAAGTGGATCCGTCAAAGCTTTGGGTTTGTTTCCACCCATTCAGCTTTGTGTTCCATACTTTAACTACAGATTATGTCAGTGTGTTGAAGAATATTCCATTTAATTGTGCCATATATTTTCAACGACAGTCGCTTTTTTAAATTGACTTTTCACCCTTTATCAATTGCTTTTTAATTGCTTTACTGTTTAGTGTTTAGCAGCATCTTGCTGCTGAGTGGCGATGTGTTTTTGAGGAGAGACACTTGAGGATCCAGATCCCACATGTACCGTCTGACCCAATAAAAATCTGAGAGTGTTTGCCCTCCTTATGTGCGTCTAAAAAAGTGAAAACAGTTAGAGAGATATCCAAAAGTGACCGCACTTTTGTTTGCATAGAGAAAATACAATCAAGACCCCATTTTAGTGTGCTCTAATATTAAATCAGATTTGAAAATTAGATTATTTGGATGATAACCCTTCCAGAAATACAAAAAAAAGAGTTTACTCAAACCTTTGATTGTACAAAAGATTCTTTATTTACTCAAAACATTTTCAGTACGTTGCACTTAAAGGTCAAGTCTGGAGAACTAAGGGAACCAGCCTCAGTTTTACAGTTTTTTACGCGGAGAACACACACAAACACACAACCTCGAAACCGTACATAGGCACATGCTGCGTTGACACTTGGCTGACCGGTGCAGAGCAGAGGGCTGGACCTCCCATTACTGAACACAGAGTTTGTGGTCTCGCTCCACTGGTGAGGGTGTCAGCAGCTCCCCGTCCACTCGGCCAGAAGCAGGGTAATGGATTGTGTTATTCCTCGTTGTTGACATTGCAGCAGATCTGAGGGGGTGAGCGTATTCCCCCCCCACTTCTCCCTTTTCACCCGCTCTCTTTCTCCGGTTCCTTGCTTACTGTATGTCTGCAGATTATTTTCCTATTCTTTTTGTTCTCCCACAGCCAGATACCTTCATTATAAACCCTCTCCCACAGAAGCTATGTAGAAGTACAGGCGACAGACTTCCAGTTCTACAGCCCGTCTGCTTAATATTCCATTGTTTTCATGATGCAAGAGAGGCAACTACACACCGTGAAATGAATGGGTAGAGGGGAGATTCTTAAGGCATGTTTCAGCCGTATTCTTTTCATTGCTGCCATGCAATTATAAACCGTCTCAGAAGAAAATTATATAAACAACATGCCTACATGCAAATGTCTGTGTAAGTTTGTTTTCTTTAGCGCTTGGCCTAAAGAGCTACATTTCTGAATGAAAAGTTTTTTAATAGTATGATTATTTTCAACATTTTAGAAATACATCTAAAGTCACCAACGTTGTTTTGAAACTAAAGACTAGCTAAACTTATGGAGATGGATTCGTATATCATCATTTTGATAAAAGAAAAAAAACATGTTTTACTGTATTATTTGGCAATCAGGTTATGTTTTAAGTAAAAACATAACCTGAGAAAAACCCGTGATAGCTAGCCTACTGGCTCAGTAACCCCTGACATAGATGTTATATTGTATTACTTTTCATGGCATCTTTTTTCTTGAAAAGGCCAACGTTAGCCCCCACTGACCCCTTCCCTCCCAAACCCCTCGCTTATTAAAAACAATCACTACTGCAACACTGGACTGTTCTGCACATGCACACTTTAAAAAAGCTGTCAAAGAGATATTTACCCAATATTGCACTAGTTTAGTAGGATTATGTAGCTACTGCTTATTATTTATATACAATTTAATCGTTGCTCATTCTGTATTTAAATTACATTACTTATCATTTGCCAAGTTCCTTTATAAATGATGCCATAGTTCCTATGTATAGTCTACTTACATTTAACGACAAATACATTTGGGTGATATGTTCTTAGCACCTAGGTTTTCATCTATAAATACTGGCTGTATGCTATGAATACAACCCATACAAACCTCTTATATAGCACACTACTCATGCAATATATACTTCTAGTTAGATGCTAAATGCATTTCATTGCTCTGTATCTGTGCATGTGTATTGACAAAAATGTCGAAGCAAATATAAACTCATTTCTGGGCATTTGACGTTGGGCATTGATTGGTTGATTGCGATTTGTGGCATGTTTTAATCAAATTCAGATAAGTGGAAATATTTATTCATTCATTTGCCTCAGGCCAAACAAGACATGGACTTGCTGAAAACAACTAAACATAAACACAGATTATGAGACTTCAATTATGTAGTAGTGGACAAATTGTATAAGCAGTTATTTAGATCATTAGATGTAGCTGATTGGGGCTTGCATCTGTATACCATAGCTGAATTATATAAACTTTATTCATTATCATACTTTTTTTGTTATTATTATGTCTCTTTTGGACTATTATGGGCTTTGTTTACCATGATGACTGCATTTGTGTTGTTGTGTTGTGAATAAAATTGAATTAATTCAAACTTTATTCCGCATTCTCTTTATGACCTGCAGGCAGTAGCAACAGATCCTTTTCCAGTGAAGGCGCTCTACGACAAATCACACGACCAGGTGTGGATCTTAACCTGGGGAGACATGGAAAAAACACATCCCACATTACAGGTAAGTGGAAGGTTTCAAAGAAGACGAGATTTCATGTTCCATTTATTACGAACTGGCACAATTTCCTGAAGTCCCTTGACTTGTTTTGCTCAAAACACCTTTAACCCCTTCAACCTTTCCAGCCATGTCGTACATCCTTCATAGCAGATTATTTAGACGTAGCTTGATGTGAAAATGTGGAAAGAAATAAGAATGATGCTGTGTATGCTTCAAACCGCTAGATAACAATATCAAAAATGGTTCCCTGAAATTATTGAGAACTATTCACCCCTAAACACAGTTTTGTCACGTCATGTTTTGTGGTTATTTGAGACATAATACATCCTATCACAGTTTATTGGAACAGCATGGTAGACTGGGTTCTGATACACCCTTGCAGATGAATATTTATAATCAAAGAGGTGATCATTCTCCATAAGTCCACTTAGAGCGGCTATAAAAATACAAAACGGCCCTCTTTTGTTACTGTCTTGTTTTTGCACATTTCTTCTCCGTGTGTATTTGTGAACGCTGATGAACGATGATCCGACCGGGAAAACATAATCTGTTAAAGCTGCGGAAAATCGACCAAGTAAGGAGACCGCCTCGTAACTAATTGAGCTTATTTGTGCACCTATTTACGTGTTTACGTGATACAAGTCCGTTGCGTGACAGAATCTAATCTATGTACGGGTTTTAGAGCATTTACCAAGCCAGCAAAACAACAATTCACAGCTGCGATGTTGTCCGCTCGTGCCTGGTGTCCCTTCGGACCGATGGTGTTGGAGGCTTCACAAATGAGAAATGATCACAGGTGTGGTTGTATTTAATCTTCCTCGGGGGAGTGGGTGAGATGAAGGAGGAGAGATAAGGATACAGAGAGGGACGAAGGAGTGGTACCTCTGGGAAAGGGCCAGTGCTGTTTTTGATGTGGAAAAAGCCCGAGTGTTCCTGTTTGTGTTGTGGCGGAGTGTGCTTCCATGAGTAAAGTCACCGAGGGATCTCATTGTGATCGCCGAAATAGACACAAACACGTGTGTTGTTGTATTGTCTGGATGGGTCCCATTACAACGTGTGAGATGTTGTGTTCAGTCTTTCTGGTTTCAGGGAAGTGCTGTCCCTGTTCTTAACAAAAAATACAGAGCACTGATACACAGTATTTCTTATACTTCTGATTTCTAAAGGATGCTTTGAGGTAAACGATTTCTATTACGTTCCTTAAATCATTCAATTTATAAGGGCTTTTTTTTTCCTGTGAAATTGCTGGTTTATGATAATTTTGGTTTTATGTTCATCTAAATCAGTTAGATATGCTGGGACAAATACATTTGAAAGTGATATGTTTTAAAAAAACAAAAGGATTCATACACAATTTCACTTAGATTTTTACTTTTTTTAAATATGGGCTCTGGTTGTAGATGGATAAAAAAGGTACCACTATGAATTGGCAACAACAGGTGGTGAAAAGGCAGCCATCTGTGTGTGGGCTTTAACAGTTGTCTGCTGCTTTTCCAATCAGCGGGGCTAAACATGTTTGTATTTCCTCGTTCCCTGCTCTGCTTTACACCTTCTCTTCACAAAACATATACCAGTAAGATTTGTCTCCGTGTAGTTTTCACAGCTCATAGTGATTACAAGGGGGTTTGCTTTACAGCTGAGCTAGTTATTACCTGAAATAAAGCAGAAAATTCTATTAAAGTACGTTTTTAAGTGGAAGCCAAACAACCTTTTTTTTTTTTCTCCTACAATCAGACCCAAGCAGAGAGGGTAGCTTTGCAGAAATGTTCCATTTTGTTAATTTCTTTTCTTTCCCTGCATTAGTTCAGAAGTAATGAATAATTAGTGAACCGGGCATGAATCTTTCAAATATGCAATTGCAGGGAAGCCACGTAATGAATTGGAGGGCCACGTGGATCGCACCGCTAAATAAATGGTCTGATAATGTCATTATCGTTTGGAGTGAAAGTAATTGACCTGTTCGGCGACGGCCTGTCGCTTCGGCGGATCGTACACGTGCGGTGTGGATGTGTTCAGGTGCTGCGAGTTTACGGAAGGCGCGCTTGTTCTTTGTAAATATCACACGGAGTGCGATTTTCAATTCATTAGGAAAGACAAATGGAGGAATCCGACAGGCAGAGAGAGAGACGTGGCCTTTCGGATTGTCAGTCCAATCTGCGTCAGCCTGAAAAAGGAAGATATGGACCTCCAGACACATCGCTTTTGGGGTTGCACGATAGCGTCGACACCACGCAGCCGACACATCGCAGGACATGCAAATATCGGATCTGTAAATGAGCGTTCATTTACAAATGTGTGATACATGCCTTAGGGAGAAAAGTAGTAATATGACAGATTCTTCACTGACATTGAGTCTCTAAAAGAATCCATTCTAAACCAAAAACCATGTTTCAAATATGTAGTTTAAGATGGTAAGGTAATTCTGAAATACCTTAAAAGATGCGTTTGATTTCCTAAATGACACAAATGCATAAGATCGCTTAAAAAATCACGTCTCTTTTAAATGTATATAAGCTTTCAAAAGTTCTACCTAGTTCATCTATAAAGTGAATGATACTGAAAGGGAGAAAGTACTCTGTCAGATCCAGAGCTCCCTTAAGTATTCATGCAATGAGGCAGGAGCGGAGTAAAACTCAATTGGGCCTTGTTGCTGAAGGTGTGAATATGAAATCCAAGGGTGAGCAATAACAAAAGGCAGGCCTGTGGCATTAAGTGGAGAGCACCTGCAGCCCTGAAGACCACAGCAGCTGCCTGATAGTACATGAGTGATTAGACATTGAGCCTCATTAACTTCCATTTTTGTATTCTGCAACTGTTAGACAGGATTTTATTTCCTTAACAAGGATTTTTCTAATGTGTTTCGGTGCCAAGAAACAGGCCGTTAGCGTTTCTTTTTCAAATAAAAGATAGAGAAAAGAAAATAGTTAAAACTACTGCTCAATACCCCTCTGGGAATCAAGCAGAAGTTCAACTATAAGGCAGTGACGTCAAAATGTATTTTTTGTTGAGGTGTCTGGCCTTCAAAAAAGGTTTTCATGATATGTCCAGCTGGATTACTTTGACATATTTTCAGAAACCAAACTTCTCCCCGTGTACTCACTGTCTATAATAACATTGAAACTACTATTGTAGTAGAACTATCCTATGACTTTTTGGGTATCTATTATTGTATCTATTATTGTCAACGGCAACCCAAGATGCCACTGATCCACCAACTGTTTTATTGAATACATCTGAGCAGGAGATATTGCTCCACATGCTTCAGAAATAACTTCTATCAACATTTACAGTCACCCAGTGTTATGTCATAACACAGCCTCCCATTGTCATGAATACATGGAAAGCTTTTGAATTCCAAACAACTATTTTTTACTCTTTTATACCTACCGAAAGCTCAGTATACTTTTAATCTTTTATTTTGATTCATAATAAAAGACAGCACATCCGTCTACTTCTAATCTTTTATCTCAATTAATAGCAAAGGTCAACACTTAACAAGGAAATGCTCCATTTTCAACTTTTTTAATAGTCTTATTAATGAACGTTGAAGATAGATGAGCTCATTTTTTGTGCTAACTATGACAAGTTATGATGATGAACTGTCTGCTTTTACATCTTGAGAGCAGGTTAATTTGGAATTTGGCTTAAGTTCATGTATAGTTAAATAGATAAATCAAACTCTACACACATATATATGTATTTCTTTAAGTATTTATTCTTATGAACTTCTTCTTTGCATTGTACGTAGAGCATGTTTGAATCTAGTTTTATTGCATACATCATTATGTGTGGGCGTTCTGCTTTCAGAGGCTTCTTTGATATAATTTGCATTAAATCTCCGTGTTTCATCCATTTTGAAGGTTTAGTTTTGGTCTGACTAACCCGAGCGTTCTTTTTGTGCGTGGTGATTAGGAACTATTTTAGTTGACTGTCGTCACACGTTACGCCCGGGTGTATGGATTTGCTCATGATCAAACATCTCTCCTTATAATTGACTCAGACCTGATCACAAAGGGCATGCATGATGAAGAATTTGTCACCGAGAGGGTAGAAGCCATAACGGGGAGTTCGTAAAAAAGACGCTGATTCAGAGCCAGGACTAACGACATGAGGGATGAGCCTTTTTGTTGCTGTTTGTGCTTCTGAGACAAACCGTTGCCGGATGAAACGGTGTACCGAGAACTGAAGCACGACCACATATCATCAGCACGGGTCATGGACTGCAGATGTTTATCTGTTCCAGGATATATGGGGGTGTCACCTGAACAAGCTCTTGTGGTTTAGGACCTGACATATGAGCCTTCAAATCGCTGACGGGAACGAGTGGCACAGAATTCTGATGAAACCAACTTTGAGCAACACACTAAAAAGCAGATCATGGACTGGATTTTTTTTTTTTTGTGGCTACTATTAGAAAATATAGGTCTATTTCAAACATTAAAAATTAGCTATCAGCAGTGTGTAGCGATAGTGCTACAGTTCTGTAGATAAAACCTTAAAGAACAAATCAAAACCACACGACTGATAGGTTTAGAGTCAGATAACCCACGTGAAATAATATAGGAATTTGTGGACTTCACAGCCTTAAGCTCTCTCAAAATGATAAGATAAATTGGATTATAAATTAAAGTGAACCATCAATCATTCACAATGACAGTTCCAGATTGTTTATGATGATTAACAAAATGACTTGTCGGAGATTTATTTTGTGTAACACATGTTTGACACAGAATTCTGGTAAAAGATTAAAGATAGTTAGCTAAACAGATCCTATATTTTCACGATAAAACACGAAGATTTTAAGCTTCTTTGCATAAAGGGATGTGGAAAAATCTAAAAGAAACTTCACACTTGACACAGAAAATGGCTTCAGTTTTTTTTGTTTTTTTGCACAAACAAGACAAACAAGACGCCAGAAAATGTATTAATTAAATTAAATTCACTACGCTAACCTTGTTTTGCAACAGGCAAGGCATTTTCCACCATCATGTGCTTTGGACCACATCATCTTTCATTTTTCAAGCAATAAAATTGAGAGATTAAAGGTTCACATCACTGTTATTTGTTATCAGTGCTTAATATTCGTGTTTTTTCTTTTTTGCTGACTTTAACAGGTAATTGTCCAAGCCAGTGTCGGGGAAGTTCATCATGCCATTCGAACAACTTTCCAAAGGGTGAATGACTTCTTCATCCCTCCAACTAATCTCATCATCACTCATGTGAGGTAAAGCTCCCGGTCGCTTCTGACCTCAAAAAACACCGGCCACCTCAATGTTTGCTCATCACAACTGTCTCCCTAAAGCAAAGGAGAAAAGAGCGAATTAGCGCTCTAATGAGAATCTACATGTGTATTAATCACTTCCCCCCAAATATCTTGAAAGGCAATTAACCTCCGTTTTGAACTTTTCCCCGGCGCAGGTTTGCCTTCGTCTTCCTCAAAAACGAACCTGCGGTCCACAAGATCGACCTGGAGACCTTTCGCCGCGTCAAGACCATCAGTCTGAAGAACCACAGCTGCGTGCCGGTCAGCATGGCCTACACGCACCTGAGCGGCCTCTACTTCGTCCAGTGCCGGAGCGAGGGCCTCCTCGGCGCCCCGCCGCAGCTCCTCATCGACGGCGTGACCGACGCCGTGGTCGGCGCCAACCTCAACGTCACGGGCCGGGCGTACGCGTCGCCGGACGGCCGCTACGTGGTGACCCCCGACCCCCGGGGCCCGCGGCTGACCGTACAGACGGTTTCGTTCCGCGGGGAGCTGGCGGTGAACCGGGAAATAGACGGGCCCGCGCGGGTCTCCGACCTGGTTTTCCAGCCGTCCTTCGCCGAGTCCAACCAGCACGTGGCGGTGGCCACGTCCGGCTCGGGCACGGACCTGCTGTTCGCCGACCTGTCCTCCGGCCGCACCCAGGTCCTGCGGGGCCTCAAGGAGCCCCTGGAGGCCCGCGCCTGGCCCTGGGGAGGCCCCAACAGGGTGGTGGTGACCAGCGGGCTGTTCGGACAGTACCTGGTGACCCCCTCGGTCCAGTCGCTCTTCGTCCTGAACGGGAAACAGAGAACGCCGCACTGCGAGGTCTCGGATATCAATAGAGGAAACACAGTCGTATGGGTCGGCGAGGTATGAGAAAAAAGTATGAGAGAAAAGAAAAAAAAAGGGGTGAATTTTAGGCAAAAAAAGGAGATATAGAATTAGTGAAAGAAGTAAATGAGAAAAAAAACAACTAAGAAGGGAGATCAGGCCAAATTTACCTTTGACTAAGATTTATGTGAACATACATTGTGGACTCAACCCTGGAAGAGAGAGAGAGGGAACCACGCTTGGGTTTGCAGTAACAAACGTACATTTAAAAATAGAGAAATCGAGAACATTTTAGGCGAATCTGTTGTGATATTCCTATTGGGAGAAAGTGTCAATACCTGTCAGTGCAACAGTGATCTATGTGCACTTTACTATACAGAATTGTACATTATTGCACTTCCTTCCATGTTATCACAGCAAATAGGTACCTGAAAAAGGGGGTTATTAACGAACAACGAACTATGCACAATGCTCACTTTTTTTAGAATTAAAAAAGCTTTCGAGTTTTTATTTTGTTTCAACGATGTTCGTCGTTATCACCAGTGCTGCGTATAATCACCACAAACTGTCCGTCCTGTCTGCCGTTAGTGTGTACGTGTTCTGAGTCTTTTTAAAAAAGCTACCGACACCATCTGTTTACTCGCCTTTGTCATGGTATTGTAATGTACTCCCCCCCCCCCCTTCCTCTAAAAGCTTTCATTCCCCCTCATTCCAGCAGAGGTTGGCTTTATGCACATGTGTAAAAAACCCTCTATTTACGTTGTCTATCCAAAGAGCCCAATTGGTCCATTAGCCGTTGACAATGGATGTTTCGGTCGCCGAGGAAATGAAAGTCCATCCTTTGGTCTCTTGCAACAGTATAATGTGTCCCCCCCGCTGTCTCTCGCATTTAGTCTGAACCTGCAACGCAGCTCTGTGCTGTGAAGCCTGAAAATGCCTCTGATTCTACTTAGCAGATTCCCTCAGGGTAATGATTTTGGTTTATATTGACCCATACACCAAAGCAGCATCAATTCCACTATTTGGCAGGCTGTGAGCATTTGTGCATCCTCCCATTGAGCAACGCATATCACACACTCGATCGGGTGAACTGGAAGTAAGGTAGTTATATTATTTATTTTCCTTTAAACAGTTTGATCATCATCTCAAACTTTGAGGAGGGAGGGTAATGATTAACCTTAACTTGAGCGATATTTAAGTACATTAAGTCTTATGATATGTGTATAAGACTACTGATTGTCATGTGAACAGGGTTGTAATATTAATTTTAAAGTTTAAAACTGTCATCATGCTTGAAAAAAACTTATCCTAAGACAATAACTGAATTACCACCAGCAACTCTTCAACTCTTGGAAAAAGCACATGTTTTTCTTTCCGTGGTTTAACTGTGTCATTCTCAGTGTAATTGTGTTTTTCCGCCGGCACTAATCATCACAATGATGAGCCATTAGCAGCAAGACAGCAATGCAGCTTCTGCACAGTTGTAATAATGACCACAACCATAATGTCTCTCTAAGCATTTCTGCCTCTTCACAACAGAGCTCGTCCACACATGGATGCTTAGCTTAAATGACACAGAAAAGCTTTCGTCGGCTAGAGGAAGATGGCATTTTCCTAATATTCCTGCTCTTAATAAAAGAAAAAAAAGGAACTGTATTTTTTGCAAGTATGCTGAATCTAGAGGGAGACAATCCATAAATACTCAGCTGCTTGTCTGTACCTGGATAGGGATTCGATATGGGTGTATTTTCAAAACTACATTAGCAAAAATGACCATTTCCACTTAAAAAATCCGTTGTCTCATAGAAAATGTCAAACTTTACAATGCTATATTCAGTTGAGCTTCACCAGCAATTAAACTAAGAACCAAAAGAGTACCCACAAGATATTTGAGAGCGACACAAAGAGCCCCAAACAAAGAAAAGTAATGTACATGGTGATTTTACTATCAAACGATAGACTGTATTTATGAAAAGGATGTAGCCGAACATGATGTCACAGATGTTTTGTTGCCGAAAAATTCAGATTACCACTATCCCTCTTAAACTAGAATTGATGATATAATATTAAATATTACATTAAATAATGCACATACATAGAAACTCTAGTTTAAAACATGTCATGGGTTAATGTGTATTGAAATGTTTGAACAGACATTGATTTTTTTGTTATTCATTGTTGTTTGACAATGGCTTTACTTCACCAGCGTGGATATACAGTGTATCTGAGGAACACACAACTAGCTGTAGCATAACCGTACTTAAACATATATGGCTGTCAGAATAGAAAACATCAGAGCAATACTCCACTGACTGCTGAGATCATACTTTGTTGTGGCTTCTTCTATCAAAAGTTGTAACTATTTCTCTTGCAAATGTAAGAGGTGGTCGTAAAGGTCCAAATGAAAGCAAAATATCTTAGATATCTTAGATAAATATCTTAAATATCTGTGTCAGAAAGGCAATTTTCTTAAATCTGTGTAACTTGCTCAACCAGACTGTGCCTCAAACATAAATAAGCCTTGTACTTTATTGTCATCTGTGCACAATCTTTTGGTTTTTACTAGATTCAAACACTAAATCTAAGCAGATTAGGGCATTCTGTGATAGTAGCACCACGTGACTTCTATGGCAGATCACGACCACGTGTGAATTTAATATTTTAAATGTAGTTATAGCCTAAGAATATCACTTTTTAAAATAATTTTCTCTTTCACAAATAGTGGACAATTTCTTCTTTTTTTCCCCACCATATGCTAATATTCTGAATGTAATTTTCCCAGGTGTCGACGGGGGGTTAGAGACGAAAGAATTTGCAGCTTTCACTTGTTCACTTCAATTTTTTTGGTGAATTCAGCTTAAAATTTTTAAAAATATGTATTCCGGCATGAAGTTGTTCTCTTAATAATATAAAAACGGGGAATAATAACGTGATCGAAATGAAACCTCACCATCAATCGCGCAAATGCTCACAGCCTTTGAGACATTTTTTTTTTTTCCCGGCTGGCTCTGGTGGGTCAAATGTGTTTGAAAGAAGAGTGATCAAAAATGTATCTGTCTCTGAAGAACAAGATGTCAAATTTTAGCGTTTTGAGTCTTAAGTTTGAAGCATACTGTTAATCTGCTAGTGCCCCCCATCTTCCCTCCTCACAAATTGCAGTCCGGTTTAATATTCATCATCCTTTCCTAGTGCGTGATTGTGCCTGTAGCTCCACAACACGATGCAATGTGTAGGGTAGAAAAACCAAGCTGTAAGAAAAGCAAACACAGAGACGAAAGGAGATTCGATGTTCTTTTTTTTGTGACTTTGGTATTTGCTGCTAATCTGCCATGAAAACCTTTCTGGTCTGAAAATCTGTCCGATGAGCTTGTGTGAGGGATTTAAGACAGCATTTGTTGATAGTATTTCTTAGACCACTGTTGCACTGAGGAGATAAATGTGTATGACATACATTATTAATACTATCTGGACGGAAATATGTCGAACCAGTAACTTCTTTTTTTTTTTTCTTTTTTTTTTAAATTGGCCGTCTGAGCCTTTCTAAAATCACAAATCCATTCAATATTGTTCCCTTGTTGCTCCAAATGAGCACCCTACCTTATCGGACAGCACTGAGACATGCATGCAACGAAATACAGATCTGCAGCAAAGACTACCACTGACCTCCCAGTGATCTCTCACAGTCACTCACAGTTTACAGTTGCTTGTGGAAAAAAAAAAAAGAAAAAGAAAATCACTTTTTTTGCCCTCTTATCATCACATCTGCGGCAGTAAAACATTGCTACTAGAGCCAAGGAGAGCAAAGAGCAAAGACGCTACACGTGCGCTCGCTGATAACGTTGGCTAGCTCGTGTCGTTTTGTGTGGATCTACCCTCAGTATCACGTGACTATTTCTGTACCTCTCCTTTAAACCCCCGATGAAGTAAGGAGCTGCAGAGCCGAAACGCTTGGTGTGATAGACCTTGATAGGAACCCACTGTTGTAGATAACATTGTTCATGTTTAGAACACGTTCAGACATGACAAAACAGACTGTACAGTTTTCTTTATGCATTTTGTGTGTTCTGGTTTATGAGGGAAATTGTTTTGTAAGAAAAAATGGAATTAAATATATAGTAAAAAAAATCTATTTGTGTCGTGTTCTGAGTCCTTTATCTATATTCATGACTGCGACGAGGAATTATTTTTAGCCTCCCCAATAATGATCCAATAACCCGTGGACATCTTTACGTCTTTCTCGTTTCGTATGACGAAAAATAGGGATTGAAGAGATCCAAAACAATGAATCAACCTTGATTTTATTTTTTAAGAATTTTTTAAAGGTAAAATTTATCCTGATAATTCAGAGTATTTGCATAATGAGGCTGGACAACTGAGGTAGAGAAATATAAAAAGAAGGCAGAAGGAAGGAAATAAGTATACTTATTGGGGAAAAAAGGGTAATAAATTGAAGGGGGATATAAAAGAAGCATTATATATATATATATGTATACACATAGTAGAGCAAATATAAAATGAATATATCACACATAAATACATAAGAGTATGTTTGAAATAAAAAAATATATATATTCAATAGAAAATAGTAGTTATGGTCAATAATTTTTTTTTAATTACTTAAAAAAGAGTAGAACTGTAAAATATGCACAAAATTATAAAATTATAATTAAATGGTTGAATATTTAGCATATAGATTTTTCTATTAAAACATTTTCAGCTTCAGTACTCCACATATTAATGAATGCTTTGACATTTGTATTGGTAATTTTCCTTTCCGTGTGGCTAAAATGTTTTGCCTCATTTAAAGTATTAGTTGAAGTTAAACCATATTCATCTGTGGAACACGTACATTTTATTTAGCCAGCTCTTTACGAGAGTATATAAAGGAGTTTACAAAGTCAGTCCTGTCGGAAACCACACTCCTCAGTCGAAATCTCTGGCCTGCCAGGAAGCATTTCAAGTATCTAGAGAAAAGGTTTCTACATTTGAGGGACTCCATTTACCACGTGGCATCCATTCCTCGTCCCTGCCCGCTTTCATGGGCTCAGCCAGCTGATGAGCTGGCTTTCACCTTCTGTGGAAGTTAATGAAATCTATTGTCTTCCTGGACTCAACGCGCTCCAACAATCCATGGCCATTACTTACAACACACCGATACCGAGAGCCGCTGTCAATACACTCTCTGTCAGTGTCAGAGTGACAGAGAAGGGTGAGGGGGGAACAAAAGGTTTCCTTGAGCCAAATATCAGTGGGGTTAGAGAATGTGATCACACAGACAATTACCATCACGCCTGTAACCCAGAACACAAAGGAAGCCTCCACCTTTTACTGAATTGAGGTCACAGCACGATCAGGCCGAACGTTATCATGACCCTGGCTCCCATCTAACAAAGTTAAACAAGTTTTTAAGCTGTAATTTCTTATCTAAAGCCAATAAAAGCAGATTCTTAGTTTCTTGGTAATGCATCATTCCAATGTAAGACAGGTGTAACATTTCAAAACATTGATACATCTTCAGAAGAGGTCAGTCAATGAAATGACTCCATAATCAAGTAAATAAGCAATGGTCATGGAAGTAATAGTGGTCCACTGCTGTGTCCAACAGTAGAAGCAAAGTCACAGCTATTCCAAAAAAAAGTTGCCTCTTAATGATAAAAAAACACAAAAGCCACCCAGACAGCGTTTGGAAAAATGTTCTGTAAACTCAACAAAAGGTTCAAATTGGTTTTAACTGACAAATGCTGAACTGTAGGCTATAAAATGATTTTGTATTGTGTCGAAAGACGCTAGGAATTTGGATGCTGTTATTTAAGACGTGAAACTGAGTTATGTAAAGTAAGCCGACACCCAAAATTCAAATTTTTCTATCCACGAAAGCTTGAATGAAAGTAATGTTAATGACTCGAAATTGTCAAATAACCTAAAGAAGCAATATGGAGAAATTTCTCTAAAATAATTAAACGGATATACTGTAAAACAAAACGTTCACTGACATACTTTTGCCACTCAGAGATACTTAGCTTTAATTTATTTTTTCTCTATGAATAAATGCTGGACCACATGTAGTTTAGAATCCTTTTAAACTTGCTAAAAAAAACCTTTAGGACTCTGTTTGCTGAGTTGAGTCACTTGTTTCATAGGAGGACAGATGCATTCACACATCTGGCTGGAGGCTGTGGCCTCCCTTGACAGTTTGAGGTGAGTCACGCAAAGAGACTAGATCTTAAAGTGTGTTTGAAAGCAGTTTTGAGTGTATTTACAGGAACTCATCCATGAGGATTACAGAGATTGGCACACGCCACCTAATCAGAAATTAGCATCCTCCATGTCTATCTCAGTCCAGTGTCTGAATCAGATGGTGAAGCCGGGAAAAAAGATTGGGGTGTCACCACAGTTAAAAAGCATTTGTCATCAGGATTACATGCACACAACTTCAGTAAAAATCCAATCAACGGCAGATTTGGGAGTCTGAATCAGAGTGGTGGACTGACTGGGTTTCCATTCACTGCCCATCAAAACTCATATTCCATTCATCCGGGTGTGACCGCATTCTGCGGCGTGACCGTTGCTTTAGAGCTCTAATCAGCGTGTGGAAAAGTGAAAAGATTGTGTGGAATTATCTGGGAAGCAGTCCATGTTGGGATGGCAAAGAGCCTGAGCTCAGCACAAGGGCTGCGTCTGTTCCCAGCAGGTTTTTACTGTTTCATATCAGCCTCTGGAAACTAGTCATTTTCTTTCTATTCGTGTGCCAACTACAGCAATGTAATTTAATCCAAATCAGCACTTCCCTCTTCAGAATAAATAAAACCCCGATAGTGAACTATTACTGGAGGAGATTGGGTTTTAAAGCCAGTCAACAAGTCTGTCTGGATAGAACAACAATTAACCCTGCAAACCCCTTTTGTTTATGATTGTGCAATGTTATTAAAGACTACTACAATACAGATGTTCAAATTTCAACTTAGAGGACAGCGACAGTTGTCTTTGGAATAGCATATCTGAGTCAAATAAAGTAAATATTCATACATTATGGTTCCTCTTCTCTAAGATCATTGTGAAAGCAAGAGCCCAATTTCAGCCAAGACATACTAGTAAGAGTTTAAACTCAGAATGATGCAAGGAAATGTTCATTCTTAAATACCAAGGGGAAAAAGCAAGTGTGTGCTTGATCTGAAACAGAATCCTCAAGAGTGTGCTGAAGATGATCCACCCTAAGAACAAAATAATAAGAACTATGGTTGCAGAGTTCCTCATACCCTGTTGGCACCCTATCTATCAACCGGAAAGAAATATGGTGATCACAACATGTTCTGCAGCTTCAAACCCACAAACAATAGCCCTTGCAAAAGAAAAAAAAAGAGCATTACTTTTATTTAAGAGTTTTGCAATATGGGGATGACTGGAACACACAACATTTAATTGTTTGTGGTAAATTAGAGAAGCTTGTTCCCCTTCCTTGTTGATGTGCTCTGTTTTTCAAGGTTCCTTTAATGACAATGAAAAAGTAGTCTGCAGCATTCTCAAAATTCTTGAATAGCACGGTGTTGAAAGTAAAAAAAGAAAAGTGTCAATTTTCCACAAAGAGGATGGATATGTCGACAGATTGATGTCAAAGCGGTGGGCAAAAAACACTGAATCAACTTTCTACACCACTGTTTATCACCCGACACATGGGCCACATCTTTGATTCTGATTAATGCTGCCTCTATTCTCAAACAGAGATTTTAATGAAGATACAGATCGCTCTA